GATTTGCTTATCGTTCAAGTCATCATTTACACTTCATCATAATTGTTGATTTGTGCAAAATCTATCATTAAATGCCGTTTAAAGACGAATATACGCTTTTAGTCGCCGTACCTGCCATTACATTTATTTGTCCCATTCCTATGATACACTATCTACTACTCCTGGATTATGCTGTTATAATTTGATGAGTCATGCAAGATATAAAATACCATCTACCTTGCATGAAAACGAGATTTTGTCAATCTAGCCTCAACTAGCTCTTCAAAAATGGTATTTATTTTTGGCGGTTAACCTATTTACTATCCACTTGGTTCTTTTCTCCTGACTATGCTGCTTTCCTTTTTTCTAAAGTGGATCAACTGCGATATTAGATTGCTTGACATGAGCATTCTGGGAAAGTTTGCTGTGATTATGGCTGATCCCCCTTGGGATATTCACATGGAATTACCATATGGCACTATGTCAGATGAAGAGATGCGGCGATTGGATATACCTTGTCTGCAGGACGATGGCTACATCTTCCTCTGGGTAACTGGCAGGCGAGTCTTAGCTCAACTTATGTTTCATTCAGTTGATTACATTATGCCTTTGCATTCAGGTCAGATATGAATTGCAGATGATTACTGTGTAACAGGATTTGTCTAGCTCATCCGAGCACTCAATGGCAATTATATCAATTAATGATTTTCTATAATGAACTTGTAAAGACAAAATATATATTTTGTTGCCTCTTATCAGCCTAATAAAGCTCTCGTGCTTATTTCAGCCTAAAATGAGTTTAAATAAAACTCGCTGTTACGAGAACTAAGACGAACGACAGGCCAACTAAACCAAGCAGAGTGTTATTCATTTTAGGTAGGTTTCGAGACTATCAATAGATCCTGAATGCGAGTTCTAGTCGCATGAGACGAAAGAGAGATAATTGAATTTTCGCACAATGAAATGAGTATACCTCACGACACCATTGGACTTTACTTATGAATAGATTAGATGATATTATTAAATTTACTATGGATTTAGAAAAGTAGAATAAAATGTAATTTCTGCAAAGATAGACCCTACTTATTAATTAAAAATAAGTAATGTAGTAGAATGTCATAGCAAATATAATTTTGCTTCATCAACAATACCATTAAAAAATTTGACGGGAAAATGCCTGGTCTTTCATGAAATTTGCATCTGCCCTGTGACCCAAGGGCACTAGTGTCAATTTGGCGTATGAGTTAGCGTGCCGAGCTTACATGCTGCATTGCCATGGTTTGACTCCCATTTGGGGTATTGCTAATACCTATGCGAGGTCGAAACTGCAATCCACCCTAGATGAGAACATTTTTTGGGAAAACAAGGCTATGTGAAATTCAATGAATACGTCTGCTATACTAATATCATTGTGGGAAAATTCTACTACCAGTCCTCCTTAAACGAAATAGGGTGAATATATCTCATATATCTTTAGTATGACAAAATTCTGTGCTAATGTGGAGGGGAACTACCGACCCATCCAGTAGATATTCTCAGACTACAAAGCCATTTTTAAAGGTCTATGGATCCAATAATCTGAACTCACCGAACACATGGCTAATACAGGCCATCAATAGATTAGTTTAACGCAAAAGGTTTTGCACTTTACCGGTATTTCATATCAAAGCCAACATCCTGAATAGGAGAAAAGTGAGTAGGAATTATGTATGATCGTTGGTGAGTAGCAAGAACCACTTACAAAGAGAAGGCTGTACTACACCTGAGTATGGTTAGATCTATCACACATTTACAAAGACGATAGTGCAAGCCTAAACATGCGTTGTTTGGAATACGATTTAATTTATGTTATCACAATTTGTTTGGTTACACTAAATCACTTACGTAGACAGAAAAATATTCCGTTTCCTACTTCCATTTTACCGAGTTGCTAGCATAAATTCGTGCAAAAACTTGTTTACCGTCATTACGCACCAGTGATTATGCCTGGCACAAATACTAAATTTATATTCACTTTCTCTCCGGTTTCGCTTTTAAACTCGTTATTAGTTATCGAGTTCCTTATTTTTACCTGACTAAACTCAACACAAGATAAAAATGTAAACATTTTTTTAGAATATCCAAATATATAGAATAATATTTTGCCTGAATTAAGTTTCTTTATCGAGGGTATGAAGGCCAAGATGGCGTGGCCTTTTGTATGGTTGCATTCTCCTTTCGTTATATAGAAGTTGTTTGAACTTGTTTTCGCAACTTGGTCATATTGGTAGGAAAACCTAAAAGAACGCACCTAGTACGGAGTCCATAGTATGCATGATAATTTTTAGAGTCGGACCGTGGACGTGGTGCATTTCTAGACGTTTCGCCGGCATCGTAGTC